ATGTAGAAATAGAAACTGCTTCCGAAATGAAGGTTTTTAAACAATTTGCAAAATCAATCTAATAAGCTTCTGATAAATTGATATGGAGTATACATTTATATCCCCCCAAAAGGCTTTGAATCTGATTTGGAAAGAATCGATCAGAATTTAATGAAATTCACTTGAACGCCCAAAAAGAAAGAAGTATTTCTTACTGATAGACCCTTTAATTATCAATCTCAAATCTCAATCAATCAGCTACAATCAGCTTATTTTCAATTTTATTAATTGTTCAATCGCTGGTGAATCAACCATTTCCTCTTCAAATTTGTCACCGACATCGACTACAACAATGACGTGAAGCACATCGTCGGCTCCTATTCATCTTCCCTAAGAGAAGAGTGCTCGTCTCCGATGACCTCCATTAAACGGCGACAGCACCTTCTCTGTTCATCCCCCCCCCCTCTTTTTTTTAAGACTGCTTGCGCCCCTGTTCCTGCTTTAGCTTACTTTGTTTTCCAGATCCCCCGACAGGAAAAGATCCTCAATAAACCTTACCATCATTATTTCACCTCGCTTCCTCACAAGTGCAACTCCAAAGATATTTGGGTTTTACCATAATGGTGAAAATGGATATGGTGAGGATATATGGAAAAAATAATAAAGAATTATCAAAAAGTTGAAAAAAAAAACAAAATTTATTGGAAATTCCACGGGTCAAACGCGTGAAATTCACAGGTCAGTATAGATGTGGTTATGACTTTTTAAGGGTGTAATAATTTTAGTTTTAAACACCTCAAGGGGGTGATAGGACCCCCGTGAAATTGAAGTGCGTAGTTGAGAATCCGAACATAGGTTGAGGAGGCTTTTGGCCATTTTCTCCAATTTCTCTCCATCAGTTCTTCCAATCATTCTTCAGACGACAGCTAATGCTTTCTCTTCCAGTCTCTATCTCTTTTCTCAAACTCCTCTGATGGCTCCTATGCTTGCCTCACTTCATCGTCTTGATGAAAATCCTGGTCCATTTTCTTTAAAAAGTTTAGTAGCAGAACTTAACTCTTCTTCTTCAACAATTGAATTGCACTGCCAATTAGGTCTTTGACTGGTTAAAGGAGCAGCCGCTTAAGATTAGTGTCTACTGTCTATATATAGTTAAAGTAGGATGCCCTGCAGTTGGAATTCAATCTGTGTTGTATTAGAAGCACAGTTTTCTTTTTAAAAATTCTAGTTTGTTTATATTAATAACTTTGGTCTGAACTGTAAGGTCAAACTTTGATTATCCTAAGATATATACTTAGAAATTTAACGATAGTCTAGAAAACTTTATGGTTCTTGCATTTTACTACGATTACGTAAGTCTTGGAGCAATTGAATCAGTATAGGACAACTGTGGAAACTGTTGAGAACATTTCTCAATTCAGGACAACTTCTGAAAGCACAATATTGGTGGACAATGTTTATTTGGATAAATTACATGATTTTTCAAAGTACAACTATATATAAGATATCTGCATGTGTTTTGCTTTAAGGCACTCACCTTAACGGCTTAACCCGATAAAGCCAATAATATCTAACAATTTGTTACACTTATTGAAAAAAATTTCTTCATACAATTAAACTTACAAGACTTCCAATATGCTTCATACACAAGTTGATTGAATTGTTCACATTACCTATGTAGAGAGATTGTATGCCGTTATGGGGGAGAACTCTTAATTAGGACGAGGGGGGAAATGGACTTGAAGAAAAAGTTAATTGAGAAGATGTTTAAGGCGAGCTGGATTGGACTATAACCATCGTTTAGCCCATATTACCCCAAGCAAACTTTGGGATGGTTGGGTCATTGACAGTTTATTAACTTTAACCATTCTGTCCAGAATGACTGTTTATCAACTTAACCATTCTGTTCAGAATGGCCGTTTATTAACTTAACCATTCTGTCCAGAATGGCCGTTTATTAACTTAACCATTCTGTCCAGAATGGCCGTTTATTAACTTAACCATTCTGTCCAGAATGGCCGTTTATTAACTTAACCATTCTGCCCAGCCTACTATTGGCGCATCCTCCCATTTTATTCCCCCAATCCCACTCCCACAACATAAACTCGATGTTCTTGGATACCCAGATATAAAGCACTCTATACAGTATCAACCAAAAACAGGAAAGCAGCTTTAGGAAAAAACTCTAAGTGGGCATGCTCAACCTTAATATAAAAGCTGCGAATATATTTGAGTGGAGCTGCTTCTTCAGATCTTCTATTAGGAAACCTTAGTTTAGCAGGAACTCCATGCTACACACATGCTTCATTTAGCACTTGTCAACACTATGGTGTAACTCATATACCCCAATACTAATGCAACACATTATAAGAAGTTTCAGATTCTTTGAAATGTTGACCTATGTGCTTGAGTCAATGACCTTTTTAGTTAAATTATCATCTTGAGGTGCTTTACAAGTGTGTACAGACTCCGATATGAAAAATTCAGAAAAGTACTCCTAAAATCTCAATGAAGCCACCTGGAACTGAGAGGGAAAAAATGAGGATCCAATGTATTCAGACATTGCAAACAAGAAAGTGATAAATAAACACACCTTCACTTCATCATACAGTTTTTTCTCCCAGGCAAGCATCTTGTCTAACACAGTTGCATGAGTTTCATGTTCTTCTGAATCAAAGTCATCCAACTCGTCATCGGCATTTGGCAAACCTCTGAAGGACCTATTCCATGTTATGACGCGCATGACCCTTGCAGAATGATCAATGTGTCCTGAGAAGCAAAAATTACGGAGATATAACAACACCAACATGCCCAATTGTGTGTTGACAGTCATTGAGAAAGTAAAACATCAAACTTTGTGTTTAAAATCAAACTAAAAATAGCCCATAAATTAACCACAATTTGATCAAGGCTTGCAACGTTGGTAACTTTTGAATAACAATGAAGATAATCCTGCATAAAAAGAAACAACTAATTAAACTGAATATTTCTTAGAGAGATCTTAAATGTACCTCTATTATCAGCAAAATTTGAGTGATAATGCAATCGATTGGCCTCAAGCATCTTAGATACTTCGTGAGCACTCTCGGACGCCTTAAGGAAACAGTCATCCAGCTCAGAGAATATCTGAAGAAGGTTAAATTGGCCTCCTTTTTTTTTGTTCTCTCCTGGAACAACATTTTTCACTCTTTTCACAACCTTCGTAGCAGCCTGAGGCGGAGGAGGTGGCTGCGACGGAGGCTCCTCTACCGTTTCCACCACATCTGCTTCCTTCGGCATCTCATTTTTCCTCACTCTTTCACTTTCATCAGCGCGGCCATCATTTTCAGTTCTCTTGGCCCTTTCTTCCATCATCCTCCGCTCGAGTTCCTGTCGTTCAATCCTACTCTCGTCCTCCTCTGCTAGCGTTGGCGCTGGTACATTTTCCATTGAAGGGAAGAAAAAATCCCATGACATGGAGTCCATCCCTTTATTATCTGGTGGTGGTGGGGGAGGTGGCGTTCGATTATTCTGCGGCAGTGTCCGAGGTGGAGAAGGAGGCGTAGGCAATTCTTCATCCTCGATTCCCTGTCGATGAGATGCTGCACCTCTGCCCCCAATTCCACCGCCGCCGCTACTTTTACTACTACGATGCCTTAAACCATGAGTGCTTTCAGTTTCCATATCATCTTCGTTCTCCTCCTCGATAATCATATCGGATCGTTTCGGGTCGGGCGTGGGGATAGAGATTTCGGGCATGGTTGCCGCACGCTGTAGAGGAGAAGCTGGGAAAGAGGTGTTGGGGAAGGGCGGCAGGGGAGGTGGAGGAGGCATGTCTATAGGTGCGGAAGAGAGCGGAGGAGTACCACCGGGAAGGGGAGAAGAAGAGGAGGAGGCGGCGGCGGCGGCGGCATTAGAAGGAAACTGAACCTCACCGTGAGCGTAATCGCTGAGGGCAGCACCAGTGTTCTTAAGGGACATAGTATAAGCAGAGTGAGCTGCAGCAAAGGCGTTGCGGGCAGATACAGCCTCTTTCATGAAGTGCTTTCGCTCTTTGCATCGAGTAACAGTTTCTTCATTTTCGATCTTCGATTGCGTACACCCCATTTTACAGAAGAAGCAAACAACACTAAAACTCCATATATATACAGAAGAAGAGATTTCACTGAGAAGATGATAACTGAAGTGGAGAGAATTTAGATCGGATCAGCTCTGAAGAATTTGTGTAGAAATTGAAAAAAAAGAGTAATAGACATGGAAACTCTGTACACAGAGAGGGAATACTCTTTTGCTTTTTGTTTCTAAAGGAAAGGCGAATCGATTAAGCAAAACTACAAAAGAAAAAATGAAAATTTCACGTTTAACGGCGCCGTCTACTTCCACGTTTACGTATCGGTGATTTGTTTGGTAACCCAAAATAACCTCGCCAATATAATATTTTCTCATGATTTCTTATAAATATTTATTAATTTTTTAGATATATTTTTACGCTCCAATTGTTCAACAAGTATAGGAGCAACACTTTAAAATAAACATGTATTAGAACAATACATGTTTTCTACTTTTCCTTTTAATTACTTTTTCTAGTGCCGTGGAGGGGTTGAGCAGAAGCTTTCAAAACAAGTTTAGGTAGGATAATAGTGCAATTATTTAAATAAGTAATTCCAGTATTTGCATGCAGTTGTTTTGTTTATTAGTATATAGTTGAAAATTTTGGACTTAACTTTCCTTTTGACTACTCAAGGGACACCTTAATCAATTGGTGATTATTTTAATTTGCCTAAACCTTGTTTGAAAGGTTTATTCGGCACAAGTGCAACTAGCAAGTACCTTGTAAAATAATCGTGGTGTGCTCAATTAGCTCGGAAATGTGCCTTCAAACAAAAAAAAGGACAAAGCTTCTCTTAGTGAGTAAAGACAACAACAGAAAGGAAGTGTTAGGATTGGATAACTTTTTGCTAGCTTTTGCACAGCAAAAGTATAAAGTTGGTTCTCAATTAAAAAAAGCGCCATTCAAAGATTCTAATATTGCATGTGACGCGTCTTCGAACATCGAAATTCTATAATAGAATACTAAGGAAAAGTCGAGAAGTCATATTTCTGAAACCCCTACTATTCTTATTATACCTGCAAATTTCTTGCTTGGTGCTTTTTTCCCTTTCTCCACATGAACAAGCCACTTGCAGGTCTACCAATCTATTTTACAAATTGACAGGTGATGATAATAGAGCATGAATATGAATTTCAAGTTCATAGCAACTGAAGATGAATGTTATCAATAAAAGGTGTTTACGGAATTCAGAAGAGTGCTCTATGATTTTACTTTAATTTTCCAAAGCTCGACGTCATCCCCTCTATTGTAATTCCGCACATAACATGGAATGTATCTCAAATCAATCTGTTCACCAACAAACAAGGGCCTGGATGCACCATCTAGCTGCTTACATCCTGCGTCATCTGCTGCACAGTAACATATCATAAACGTAGAGTGGAGATGAATTGCCAATTACAAGTGAAAAGAACTTTTTATCTATTTGCAGCTTCGTGCTCACCTTGTTCTGTGATCAGGTAACTACGGAAGTGTGAATATCCATTAGCAACAACATCAAGATCATCAAGGGTGAAATTGTAACGCTTTTCCATAGCCAAGTATAGCACCTGAAGTAAAAGCCAACACAATCAGTCAACCAATATGCTTTTCTGATCTTCCACTCTTGAAGGTGCCAACAACATAATGTTTAAAAGGTTTTGGATGACTAAGGTACGTGCAAGTTGGTCCTGACACCACCATCACCCAAAAAAAGTGCAGAGTACTCCTGATTCATTCATGGTACCTTCTCCGGGTTGTCTAACATTAATTTCTTCAAGATGCTAAAGAATGCATCAGTCAGATCATCACTGTAAATGACATCAGCAGCCAGAAGCAAAGAAGCTTTCTTGAGTTCTTCAATTTCTGATTGGGTCCACCAGTACCTGAACAAATTTGGCTGATCTGCTTTAGAGCTTATATTCTAGCACTACTTATCATTGCTAGAACCACCCAAAAAAGTTAGCAAAAGGTAGTTATCAATTCTAGCTGTCTCTTATGGTAAGACAAATCAATTACCTTCCTTTAGATGGTGAAGTATTCTCCTCTTGAGGAGGCCATGAATTTTTCCAATCAAGTTCACGTACATGAACAGACGTCTTCCCATGGAATATTTCAGCATTAAGATCCACATTTTTCTCACAGTTCTCAAGTACTTCGTCTCCATGGTCTGACACATACAACTTGGGGATTAAACAGAAAAAACAGAAAATGTGACAAAAGCATGCCATCCTTAGTGCTCTAACTTAAGGATAGACGGTTCATAGCAATAGCAACAGGAAAAAGAAGACAACGATAAAATTGATGGTGACTGGTGTAAACTCCAAAATATGCTAAAAGAAGTTCTGATAGCAGATGGCCTTAAATTAAAGGACCTACACTAACCAAATAACATTTCTATGCCTGGAGCTCTTGCCGCCTACATATATTGCATGGGAAGTGGCAATTGCTAGCAAACAAGTGCAGTCTCACTTATTTACTTGCAGAAAAAGATAAAATAATAAGCAGCGCCCAAAGCAGCATTAAGATTCACCCTACACAGTGGCTAAGTTCTTCATCACCACGATCGGCAACATACAACTAGACATAAACGCAGCCTCAGAGACAAGGATGAGTAAACCACAACAATGAAGGAGACCACTGCAAACTTTTGAATATGTGAAATTAGGACTGAAAAAGATGTTACCGGTGATAAAAAGTAAAATGTATAGTCACACAAAAAAGTAGGATAAAAAAAGAAGTTACCAATATCCCAAGTGATTATATATGGGAATCCAAGTAATATTTTGAAAAAACATTAGTGCTTAGAAAAGCTTCTGAAGCGATTGAAAAAGATGTATGAAAAAAAAAGAATCTATAGAATAACTTGAGAAAACATGCTGTGCATGACTGATGACACTAAAGATCATAGCACACCAATAAATTGTTAGCAGATGAAAAAAAAAGTAGAATAGAACTTCTGCATTTCAATGTTGTTTACCTGTTATGAAGACAGTTTTAGCAACACGGGCAAGCAAAATACCAACTAACCCTGATAAAAACATTGAAAGAATATCTTGTCATACGGCAGATACTAATTCCTTAAATTTGAATAAATCTAAATACTTGAGATCAGTCCGAAATTTTTTGATGCTCCTACAAGCAAATGAAAACCTTAAGAATACAATTTCAGTTATTCAGTGGTAGCGATGGCAGCAGGGCAGGTATCACCAAATAAAAATGACTCTAATTTCAAAAGGATACCGAGCTGATCCTGATGTTTCTGGACCCAATAAGATACCATTTACCGATTCCAATACAGTTTGCAATAAGAGGTACCTGATAGGCTCTGGGATCTAACAGCAGGGTCCGGCAACTGAACCCACATATTTTCTTATCAAGACTCACATAAGAGGTATATCATACTGTATAAGGAGAAATTTAAGCATAAATTAACTGTTTGATAAACAGGAGTACATGCTATATGATTAGGTGTCCATTAATTATAAACATAATCAAGGTAAGAAATGAAATGGGTCCACAGGGAGCGGAATGGATAGTGAGATACATATAGCCCACCTCAACTAGCTGAGAATTGACGCATTATAGTGGTTGTTGTATTTTTGGAAAAAAAGTACCCCAAAATCCAAGGCTTTGGTTCAATGGCAGAGAGCACAACATGTCAGTCATAGTAATGTGCACACTGCATAACACATGTTCGAAACCAGGTTGTTGCATCAAGCTAAGTATTAGAGTGGAGACGGGGAGAAGACTGGAAGGATTGTCCTCAAGTATCAAGTTGAAACAGCACTCTTCGTCATCAAAATAATTTAAGAGAAAAGGTTTAGAAAAAAATATGACCAATAAATTTAAATTTCTTTTTTGTCATAGAGTTTTTGAAAAGCAATATTAACAATTTATTTGTATTTTTCATTTTAATTGTTAAATTACTTATTATGGATATAGGAAACTTTTGTCAGGCGAATACCGTATCTTGGCATCACTACTCTGTGAATGGGGGATTTGCAATGAGTAGAGGTACCAGCGGTTATACTATAAACAGAACAAAACAAATTAAAGGTGATGAAACTTACCTGTACCAGCCCCAAGCTCCAATGCAACAACTTTATCAAAATCAGATGATGTAGACATAACATGCAACACAAAATCAGTAAGCACTAGTTCTGCTCTCCAAACCTGAATAGGAAAACAACAACTAAATGAACATTAAGCACTCAACTGGAGATAGCATAATGAGGATAATAGTGATTACTGACATTTGGGAATACATATTTACGCTTACGGAATAGAGAACATGCGCTCACATAGTTTTCAGTTATTACATTTCCTTGTACAATTTGAGAAGCAAAAGCATATGGAAAATGTCATAGACTCTATACATACTTCTTTTAAATTGGGGGGAGAAGCTGAATGGAGAAATGGTAGATGAAGACAATCCATAAGGACCAACGGACTCTGAATTTTTTTGATTACCTGCAAACCAACTCTAGGAATGGATGAAGTGATATTATGCTGGAGGGTTAAGACAAGATGGTGGCTAGGTGATTCTGCAAGTAGAAGGAAAACGATGTATTACGTATATGGCTATTTGATATGAAATGTTGGTGGAAGGAGTGATGAGAAACTTGAATACATAACCAGTGACTCCATGTTACTATTCAAGCCATGTAGACATGAATTTTTCTTAAGAGCATTCATCTTAAGTTAATTTTGGAAATTCAATAAATATCCACAATTTTATTATAAAATCGCTAAGAGAAAAATGGACTTCTCGTCTACGTAAACTTTGTGCCTTCTCTCAACTCCTTCTCCTGAATTCACTGAACATGGTCGAATACTGAGGAAATCAAGAGAAAAAAAACATGTGCTTCTGCCTATTGGTATTAGTTACTTTGTGATATTAAAGTAATCATGGAATGCATGTTAGCAGTGTCATGACTCATGACAAATTTTAGAAGTAACATTTTACACATCAAACCTTATCCAGATTTTAAGTTCTGACTTTTGAGATTGAGAAAAGAGGCCATTCTTTTCACTACAGACTAAACTAAACAGTTAAAACAAAATGTGATGAAGGGAGTACTTTATCATGATGGTCTTGTTCACTCTACTTATAAAGAGGGAAAAGAGAGAGCTTATGTCTGTTCACTTGAGATGAACTTCAGATGCTTCTATTATGATATACATAGATCAGACGTTCACAAACTCAATGATTTTCTAACCAATCACAGAAATCGAAGCCAGAAATCATTTACTTGCAGGCTCAATCAGCGTAAAGTTCACATTAACTACAAATTTTCATGTTTTCGTACAGTTCCATTGGAATACCTCCACCATTTTAATCATTAACCAGTAATCCCGTTAGATTACAAAAGCAGATGAAATAACATGAAAGAGTATGCACCGAGATGAAAATCTCATAAACAAACACTGATTGACTCATTGACATTAAAAAAACAACTAATATATGGTGCTAAAAGACGGGTGCATTGTGTCACTTGGAATATACGGTGGACATAAGTTACACTCACAAAAAAGAGTTCTTGATAAAAGCCTTCCTTTTTAGGTGCAGATAACTTACTTTTTCGTCGTGTTAGAATAAGATCACCATCTTCATCCAAGTCCAACATGGTAGATGCAGAAATTGATATATCCTCAACTGCATCAATAATTCCTCTCAAACTGGAATTTTCTACAAAGTTGAAAAGAATACAACTTCTTTTAGAAGTTCTTATACTATCAAGATCCTTATTACACAGAGAGTATTACTAGTATGTACATACACTTCAACAAGCTTTTGCCATCGCTTCAGATTTTTAGGCTACTCTAACAACAAAATTAATAGTGCTTTTCAGTTCTTATAAGAGGCCAGCATACGAGTTAACCTCATGCCCTATTACTAATTGTTCAGATCAAACAATCCCCTCAGTTCAATAGTCACTCTAATGATGCTTACTATTATCATTTTAAATCACCAGTCAAATATTATGTAATCAAAAGAAAATAAAGAAGAAAAAGTGCAAAGAACAAGTAGAAACAAAGGATTTTCAAAATTCTTCAAGTAAATTAGACATTACTGTTGACTGTTCGTGGAGCTAAAAATTGGAAATAAGAGTTCCAATCAAAATGAAACTTAATAATCCAACACAGTTACGGAGCAATTATCAAGACAAAAATAATACAGTAGTAGACATTTTGATGCTATGAATTGTTCGTCGGCGCGCATGTTCAACTCAATATAGGACAATTCGGCTTACCGTAGCGAGGCGGTAGCGAGATGGTAAAATGGGAGAGATGAGGACCAGAGTGGTTAGGAGGGCAGCCGAGGTGAACTTCACTCATCACTTGCTCAGACGGCAATGGCTGTTGAACGCCGTCTTCGCGCTCCATCGAATCAAAATTGTCGTAAACGACGCACCCACTTGGGGGTTTTCCAAACATTATTTTGGCTATAGATGATTTGATATATTTTAAATTTAAGTACTTAATTGCGTAACCCTTTTTTATTTGACTGCAAGAATGACTTTTTTTTGAACTTTTTATTTGTAAAGAGGAACATCTCTTGTAAATAAAATTCTAATTAGATTCTTTAACTAATGGGATGTGTAAATAATCAGACAATTCTACGGAAGGGGACAGTATACATGAAAAAATCTTTATTTAGCTAGTTTATTTACAATAGCATGAGATGGGCTATTTATATACTGCTTACAAACAACAATCCAAACATGTAAACGAAGAATATGAAGACAAGTGAACTACGAAATGTAATATGATGAATGAGTTCATCTAATTAAATATTTATTCTCTTGATTGTTCTCTGAGAGAGGCTAATCGAGCCACAAAGTCATCGTAGTCTGGTAGCTTAGGATGGACATGTCTATTTGAACCCAACATATCAGGTTGAAATGAATTTGTTCGAGTGTGCCCTCTTCTTTGATCCCTTGGACTTGTTTGTTCCCTTTCTGCTGGAAGTGAAAGGGCCCTGTTCCCCATACTTCTCCACCTTGACACTTTACTGGGACTGTCAACTGCTGCTTCTTTTGGTGTGTAAACTGATTTTTGGTACTTTTTCCGGCTTAAGTATATCAATAGCCTGTCGATCAGTTTGTCCTCTTCATCCTGAGTTTCCTTATCGTCTGCAGTTGTGACTTTTGTGCCACCTCTTGTTCTAGCTGATCTTGGCTTGTCCTGGGCTTTTTCAGCTGCATCATCCTTGCAATTTTCTTCTCCAGTAGAGCTAGTAGGAGAGACGGTATCTGAAGTGGTTTTTGTTAAACTCGGTTTGATATAAGGAGGGAGAATTGACCTATAATGCAATGGCTTCTTGTCATCAGATTCTTCTTCAGGAGCAATCTCAATCTCTGGTTTGTTTTGTTGCCTTTCGATCACTTCAATATCTTTGACTGGAGGCAAATCGTCAGAGTTTCTGCTAAGGCTATCTCTTCTCCTTCTGTTACTTCTCTCACTCCTCCTCCTTGACGAACTATGTTCATCATCAGGGACTACCTTTCTGCCGTAAGATGAATTATGCTCCAATTTATCCTTGGACAGTTGCCTCGCGTTCTCACGATCAAACTTAGCAACTTCAGAATCTTTCTTCCGAGGTGATTCCTCCATCTTACGAGGCAGATTGTACTGATGATCATTCTGACTCTTGCTCGAGTCCTGCAAAAGAGTCAAAGAAGATCCAGATGAAGGCTAATTAAACGTGAAACTCCAATCAGAAAGGATAACACACATTAAAAAATTGAAACAACTTTTAATTCTTAATAGATCAAACTTAGTTTTAGCAATTCAAATTTCAAGTTGGCTTAGATGCAAAAATGAGGATATTATGAGGTTCTATTGAAGGCTTACTTGTTCCGATACAAGTGGATTGTATAGCTTCTGCTCCAAAGCCTTTGCATTCCATTCTATACCAGATTCTGATGCTATATCTTTCATCAACTGAATCTTCATCTCCATTGTAGGTGGGACTGACTTTAAGTTCTGGTGAAACTGTATAGAAGAGAATGCCTTTATTTTCCAGATCGCGATAGAAAAAGTAAAGTTGCAGTTTTAAATTTATAGACAAATATTGTAAGATGGAGAAAACATGAGTGACTACCTCTTTATTGACATGACATTCTAGGAAATTTCCATATCTCTCAGTAAATAGACTTCTTAGTTCGCGTAACTCTGGCACATCCGCAAATCTTGCTGCTGCAAAGATCAAAGACGCCACAGCTTCTCTGCACTCCTCAGGACATTCCCTAAAGCAAATATTACCCAGAAATTGAGAAATACTCGTTTGATCACCATATTCAGCTCAAAATATCTGAAGGAAGCAATTTGTAATGTTTCCTGTCATCTCGCAGTTATAACATACATGAATGAAATGCTAACAGAATTTTATATTGCTGAAACTCTCCAAAAATATCACTGGACTCGTGTCAGATCATCCAAAATGCACAGGATTTGAGGATCTGACATGCACCAAACAATATTTTTGAAGAGCCGGGTAATGTTTAAACAACTGTACCTAATGGACCTAATTAAGCAATCTTGACAAGCCAAATAATGTAAACACATATTTCGACTAAAACTGCCAGAAGATTAGCAGTAACTAACATGAATTTGAGTACAAAAAGATCAAAATAACGCAGAAAAAAGCAAGATATAAATAATTATTTTAAAAAAACATACCTCTGTTTATACATCACTGATAGATTATTTAAGATGTGTTCACAATACTGCTCCAAGAAATCATAACATCGAGAGAGATTCATCTCAACCAGGAGGCCTTCAGCCTGTAGCAAACAACAAAGATCACAAATTAGGATAAATTAAGCTATTCACACTTTGAGGAAGAAGAAGAAATTCAATAATTATTAGACACTTAAATTTCTGGACTAGCGATTACATGAAATAAATTTAAACTCTGCCAGCTTCAAGGCAATCACCGGTCCATCCTTTACAACAAATTTTCCTTCCAAAATCCATGTTAGCAATCATATTAAAGCCCAGAGCAGGTTCTCAATTTCACTTATAGATGCCAAGTAAAATGCAGTAATTTCTGGACGCCGAGGGCGTATAGGAAACAGCCTATCTATCCAACATAGGTTCAATAAGATCACCTTAGGCTACTCGTGGGATTACAATGTGTATGTTGCTGTTGTTGTTTAGTATTTTCTGAACGGAGATCTCATGAGAGAAAAATCCATTACAACCAAAACAACACTGTGAAATTCCACAAAGCGAGTCTTCCGGTAGAGTGTACGAAAACAGGCTAGAGGCAGATTTCTTATACCAAGATACTTCAAATTTAAAGGTTCAAATCTCAGAACTCAAAGAAAGGGAAACACAAACTTACTCTGCTATAGGCGTTAACATCCAATCCAGTTTTAAGGAGGTCAGCTATATCATTCTTCAAATACTTCAACATTGCATTCCTCTTCCTTTTCACCATCTCGATTCGAGTTTTTGTGAGCTTTACTGTCGATTTGCTGTACCACATAAAAGGAAAAAAAAATTACCAACAAATTCAAAGCTCAACCCAGAAAATCAACAGAAAAAAAACAGAGCCTCCTTGCAGAATCATGATTATTACCTTTTAGCATAGAATTTGCTTTTCAGCCATGCATCTAACATCTTGAATTTCTTAAAGTTCCCCAAACGAAAGGGATCACCAATTTATACAAGATGAAAAAATGCAACTGTATTCACGATAAGAATCAACTTCGAAAAAAGTAAAAGAAAAGAAGCTGCTGCTTTGTTTTGATAAAAGGGAAAAGAAACCTTTATGGAGGTGTCTTAGTCTAATAGAAGTTCCTATTTATCCAAAAAAATTGAAAAAAAATAAAAGAAAATTTATCTTGCTAAGATTGAGGCCTTAAATATATGAACATACACAAGAACTATATTTATGGAGAAAAAAAATAAAGAGTTTATATATATATATGAGAAAATGTAGCAGCTGGTGCTGATTGCGAATCTTTAGGTGCCCGTCGGATTTTACAGTCAGTAATAATCGGGTCTGATAACGGTAAATAATGAGTAGTGGGGCAACGTTGAGGCGTAACATGCGCGTATAGAATACGAAACTGGCGGGTTCTTAAATATTTACTAGAGGAAACAAATGATCCATCTTTTTTATTTTCACCTTAACTATTACTCTAAATTAGCGGGTTGTATTAAACATTTATATCAATAAAAAAAAAAGTAGTATAATATGTGTTTGTACATAAATTTTTAATAGTGTTGTCACATTGCATTATTTAGTTAAAATAAACTTACATGATTTAGTGTAATCATCTAATGCGAATAAATATTTTTTGTTTCAATAGTGGTTCAATTAATGTTGGTGAAGTTATTGGTCAAAATAAATAATAATCCGCGTTAAATTTATTATTTAGAGTATCGGGGAATAAATAAATTGGAGTGTAGCTATAATTATTCAACGTGATCTGTTGAACACAATTTTGTCAAAAAATATAGATATATAAGTGAATTGAATAAAGATTTAATTTAAATATGTTTGTCAAAATATCTAATTTCATTTTTATAAACGTATTAAATATTTATATCAAGTCAATAAAAAGTATTTGTACATAAATCTTTTTGTGTCCAACCATAGTTTTCATGCATTACCACCACATTACATTGCTTAACTATAGTAAATTCACATGATATCACTGTAATCACTTAATAAGAGCAAATATTTTTGATTTTTTTTCAATTTATATTGATGAAGTTAATGATCAAAATAATTAATAAACAATATTATATTTATCAAAATTAATCTGTTCAATATACTTTTATCTAAAAATAAATTACACATATGAGTCAAATATGTATTAAAATATTTTAAATAAATACTTTGATTTTCCTCACTTATATATATATATAGTGAAAGAAAGGGTCATGTAAACTCATAGGCGTAAATGTAGAGATTCAAATTTAGTGGTGAAAAATAAAATATATCGGCTTTTTATTAGGAGAAAATAGAGGTGTTTCTTGATTTAAGGTAAAAATATAAAAATTGTGGAAGAAAATGGTCTTTATTGTCCCCACCGTTTACTAGCTTAAGTCCTAAGCTTTACTATTATACTAGTCCTAAAATGACATTTTTTTTGTCCCAAAAAAACAGCTTTTTATGTTGAGCTGTTTTAAGTGTTTGCGAAATTAAAAAATTTTAAAATATGAGTACATTACTATAAAAGTGAAAAAATGTATATAAAGTTTAAATTTATTCCTAGTCCTTTATATAAATAAAATAATTCAATTAAGTGCTTTAGTGCACCATTATTATAATTTATTTATTTTAGAATAGCTAGTTGTTTAGTCATGATTGGATTCTAATATTTAATTTACTAGAATATTCCGTTCTAAAGTTAAAATTTGAGTCAAATACTCAAATTATATAAGAGTATAATATATAGTTTGTTTTTGCAATTTTCATCCTTAAACCTTGCATTCTTGCGCCTAGCATCTTTTTGGACAAGTTATTT